GAGACCCCGGCTGGGCACGGGGCCGCGCTCGCGCCTGGGCCGCGCCGCGGTGGGGGAGGGGCACGCCGCCCTGGTAATCCTATATTCCCCGTTCCTTCTTCGCTCGCGGGCGTGTGCGCGCCGCAGGCTGGCGGTAAGGCTGGGAAGGACTCCGGAAAGGCCAAGACAAAGGCGGTTTCCCGCTCGCAGAGAGCCGGCTTGCAGGTCAGTGGTGGTTCGTGCAGTCCGGGAGCCGTGGTGTTTTTCTTTACTCCTCTTTTCTTGTTTATCTTCGGTCTAGACGGGCGTTTCGTCTTTGCGTGGGTGATGCGGTGTCGCGACTTGGTTTGCCGATACGATAAATATCGAAGGGGGGGCGATCACGTGTGTCGATGCTGGGGCGCGTTGCTGCACCAGCGTCCATACCCCTTGCTTTGGCGCGCGTGTAATATTACCATCTTGGACGCTAACATCTTTGTGCATTTATGTTTGTGTGCTTAAAATTAAGTTCCCGGTGGGCCGTATTCATCGACACCTGAAATCTAGGACGACCAGTCATGGACGTGTGGGCGCGACTGCCGCTGTGTACAGCGCAGCCATCCTGGAGTACCTCACCGCAGAGGTAAATGGGTGTACGCTTTATAATCTGGAAAAGGTTTGGGGGGGTTGGGGGTGGCGACGAGAGGGAAGGAGGAAAGTGATGCAAGAAAAACTCCCAGGCTCTAAACGCGGCAAGAAGCTTCTGAGAACGCTAGAGGGGGCTGGTGTTCATTACGAGATCCTACTGAGCTTGGTTGAGTTTGCTGCTCTTGGAAATAAAATTGCGTGCCCCCTTTTCAAGTGTTGCCATTCAGGTAGGTAGTGGAGGAAGGCGACATTTGGTAGATGTATCTCCGTGAAGATTCGATTCTACCCCTTGGGCATTGGTCTTTAAGGAAAGTTGGAAGGAGATTGATTAGAATCTCCCTTGTAGGTACTTGAATTGGCAGGAAATGCATCAAAAGACTTGAAGGTAAAGCGTATTACTCCTCGTCACTTGCAACTTGCTATTCGTGGAGATGAGGAATTGGATTCTCTCATCAAGGCTACAATTGCTGGTGGTGGTATGTAAATACTAAATTTTATTCCTTTGGAGAAAACATTCTTCAGTTCTTAGTAGTAATTTCTAGTCCAGAAGTACTATTTTCACTGATCTTCAGTGTGGTTGCATCATGAAATTTGGTTTATGTATATAACTGAATGAGTTTTTACATACTTGAGCTGTACATGTAAAGACACCTTCCAAGTTAAATGTCAGACTGTCTTGTTTTGAAGTATGGTGTGGTTTTTAAAATGTGTATATTAAAAAGTGGAATTAATCCCTGTCCCTTTCCTAGGTGTCATTCCACACATCCACAAATCTCTGATTGGGAAGAAAGGACAACAGAAGACTGTTTAAAGGATGCCTGGATTCCTTATTATCTCAGGACTCTAAATACTCTTAACAGCTGTCCAGTGTTGGTGATTCCAGTGGACTGTATCTCTGTGAAAAACACAATTTTGCCTTTTTGTAATTCTATTTGAGCAAGTTGGAAGTTTAATTAGCTTTCCAACCAACCAAATTTCTGCATTCGAGTCTTAACCATATTTAAGTGTTACTGTGGCTTCAAAGAAGCTATTGATTCTGAAGTAGTGGGTTTTGATTGAGTTGACTGTTTTTAAAAAACTGTTTGGATTTTAATTGTGATGCAGAAGTTATAGTAACAAACATTTGGTTTTGTACAGACATTATTTCCACTCCAGTGGATAAGCTCAATAAAGGTCATATCCCAAACTAGTTGTGTTTTAAATTTGCTTGATTGCAATAGGAATTCTTTTTTTTTTTTTTTTTTGAGTAGGTATCTCATACAACAGTAACCTAAGCATATTTCTTTTCTTGAAATTGAACTTGTAGATCAACCAAGTCAGAAGACCCAAGTATAATTTTTTTAATGTTACGTAATGAGCTATTAAAATTTTTTAAAAAGCCAGAAGCTGGAATGGGCCAAGTTGCTGCTGCTTAGGCTAAGCTTGACTGTCCCAGCTCAGATTGGCTGTGCCTGCTTTATGTGATGTCATTTCCCTGGTGGGCTCTTGCTGTGGTGGATATGGGGAAGGAGAGGGCAGGTAAAGGAGGAAGTCCTGTGTTACAGCTACCTCCACAGAGCGAACTTTCAGTTTAGACTTTGAAACGTGTTTTCTTATGCTACAGTGTTTTGAAGTCTACTTGAATTAAATTTTCAGTAGTTAACCCTTTGGGAGGCCATGCTATTCCCATTCTTAAGAAGTATTTCTTTGTAAGTCCTGAGTTAGGTGTTTATTTGCATGCAAACAATAACTTGAGTATTATTTTGGTTGAGTTGAATGGCTCATTTTGATACTTGCTTTGTGAGCAGTCCCTAAATTTTTTTTTTTTTTTTTCTTATTTGGAGGACATTACCAAGCAATAAGTAAGTGGTCCCTTTTCCCCCTTCAAAGAGACCAACGTGACATGGTTCAGCATTTCACGAGGAAATGTCCTGAAAATGGGAGAGGGGAGAAAACCCAACAAGTAGTTTATTTCTCTGATGGTAACACATTAAAAAGGTGGCTCCCGCCTTGTTTGGGTCATAAAGGATGAGGATTTGGGCTTTTCACGAGAAAAATTTGCAAAAAGTACAAAGTGTCCACACCTTCTGGATGTACTGAGAGACAATTTAATGGAATATGGGTCAGAAAAATGGTGTGTAGCTGAAATAAAACAACCCGTGGTTAGGACCAACCGAGGCTCTGATGCGCTTCTAAACACCTGTACCGGAAGCGCTGCATAGGGACTGACAGCGCCGGTACTCACCTGACCGAAACCTCCCAAGGCTTAAGGGGGCCCAGAGGCGAGCCCTTCGATCCCTGGGAATTTTCCTGTAGGGAGCATCCCCAGACCCTTCCGTTGCCCCGGCCGCCTGGAAGGCGGTTCCTGCCTGCGCTGGCCGCCCTGGGAGGTCAGGGGGCACGGCGCTGTCGAGGCGGGTGGCCGGGTCCCCTACCTCGGCGCAGTCCCCCGGCGGGCCGCGGGGCTGGTATCGCCCGCCTCCCCTCCCAACCCCGAAGTTGGTCGGCTCCGAGCCTGCCGGCGCAGCGCACGGACAGGCGAGTCCGCACCGACGTCCAGGCCCGGGAGCTCGGTCCGGGGGCCCGGAGGGATGCGACTCGCGTTGTAGCGGCCCGCGGGGGGCGGGGAGGCCGCCGTGAGGAGGCGGAGCCGAGAGCCCGCCAGTCCGCCGGGGCCGCCGCCACGGTCCTCTGCTCTCCTCCCCGCTCGCCACCGCACGCCCCCACCCCGGGCCGGCTCGCCTCCATCGCGGCCGCGGCTTCCGTCCTCCGTAGCTGCGCCGCCGGAGGAAACGGAAGAAAGCGCAAGCCATGGAGGGGAACCGGGATGAGGCGGAGAAATGTGTCGAGATCGCCCGGGAGGCCCTGAACGCCGGCAACCGCGAGAAGGCCCAGCGCTTCCTGCAGAAGGCGGAGAAGCTCTACCCACTGCCCTCGGCCCGCGGTGAGGCCCTCGGTGTCCCTTCCCTACCTGCCGGGTCCCCAGGCCGCCGTGTAGCCCGCCCCCGCCCCCACCATCGCCCCTCCGGGAACCGGCGGGGGGCCCCCGGCCTGCCAGATCCCGCCTCAAGGCCCCCGGGGGGAGCATCCCGACACACCCCCGCCCCTGCCCCGACTGTCCCGGGCCGGGCCGGGCCGGGCCGGGCCTGGGATGGGCTCCCGGAGATTCCCTCTGCACCAGCTTGCCTTCGAGATGCCGGCTCTCAGCTGACTGGCGAGTGTTGCCGGTACCCCGGTCCGTTTTGTAAAGACTAGCTTCATTCTCCTAGGAGATTTGTCCGTCTTACCTGAGTCGGGCGTTATATATGGATGTTTGGTTGTGTGGCCCCCCCTGCCAATGCATCCTCACCCCCAGATAAGGCCTAGGCCCCTAATGAGGTGAGGAATGGGGAATTCTAGTGGCTAACGTACAGGTCTCGGTTCCACCACCTCTGGGGTAGAACACGGTTTCCAAAGCAAACATTTCGAATACCTGAGATGACATTGCTTTTCCCTAGTCGAGAGTTTCTTTAGAAGAGAGGAGCACAAATTTGGCAAGAATCATAGTCAGCAATGTTTTCCTAAATAGTATCTGGTTTGGTAACACCATAATTCTCGATAAATGAGGCAAATCACTAAGGAATAGCGTACTGGACTGACTTTAGTTGAATTCGCTCTGTTCATGTCCTGCTCTGCAGGCTTTAAAGTATTAACAATAGCCAGCATTTATTGAGCACTTACAAAGTGCCAGGACTTGTGCCTAGTGTTTTATATGAATTGTTTCATTTACTTCTCAATACTATGTAGAGGTGAAATTCATTTGACCAGGTTTACCCATGTGTAAACAGATTTTTTGATGAATGAATGAATGAATGAATTTTAACCAAGGTCACAGAGTAATTAGTAGCAAAGTCATAATAGTACTTGAGCTTTCCAGCTGCAAAAATCCTTTAAATACTCTGCTCTATTTTCTTGCCAATAGGATACTGTTTCACTCGAGGTCCAAGGTATTTCCAGGTTAAAAAATTATCGATAAGTTCGAACTCGAGGCTGTTTTATTGTCTTCTCAATTTTTTTACATTGTTGAAGCCTTTGTATTCTTTGCTTTCCTCATTTTCTTTACATTCCTGTTGAATACTGCACCAGGGAGGACAGGAAAAGGAAGTGAAAGAAAAAGGAATTAATATTTTTTTAAGTGTGGCAAAAATACATAATAAAAGTAAGTACTTAACCATTTTTGAGTATACAGTTCAGTAGTATTAACCATTTTCATACTGCTGTGTAACAGATCTCCAGAAGTTTTTCATCTTACAGAACTAAAATTATGTGCCAATGAAAACAACTCCCCATTTGCTCTGCCTGCCAGCCCGTCACAACACCATTCTTTATTTTTAAAACTTGACTACTTTAGGTACCTTATATAAGTGAAATCATACAGTATTCGTCTTTTTTGACTGCCTTATTTCCCTTAGCATAATGTCCTTTGAATACATGTTGTAGCACGTGATGTGATTTCCTTTTTTAAGGTTGTATAATATTTCATTCACACACACACACACCCACACCCACACACACACACACACACCCCACATTTTCATTATCCATTCATCCGCCAATAGACATTTAGGGTGTTTTTATATCTTGGTGTTGTGAATAATGCTGCTGTGAACATATGGGGGGAAGTATCTCTCTTCAAGTTTTTCTCGTTTTCATTTCTTTCCGATATACACCCAGAAATGGGATTGCTTGATCATATTGGCAATTCTGTTTTTAATTTTTTGAAGAATTACTGTATTGTTTTCCGTAGCAGTTGCACCATTTTACATTCCCACCAGCAGTGAGCAAGAGTTCCAGTTTTTCTACATCATCACCAAAATTTATTTTCTGTTTGTTTTCAATGTTAGCCATGTTAAAAAGTGTGAGGTGATATCTCATTGTGGTTTTGATTTGCATTTCTTTAATGATTAGTGATGTTGAGCATGTTTTTATGTTTGTTGGCTTGTTTATATCATCTTGGATAAATGTCTATTCAAGTCCTTTGCCCGTTTTTTAATTGGGTTATTTGTTTTGTTGTTGAGTTGTAGGAGTTCCTTATATATTCTGGATGTTAACCTCTTATCAGATGTATGATTCACACACTTTTTTCTCCCATTCTAGTAGGAAATCTTATTGTGTCCTTTGATGCACAGAAGTTAAGTTTGATGTAGTCTCGTTTGTCTATTTTTGCTTTTATCGCCTGTGCTTTTGGTGTTGTATCCAAGAAATCATTTTCCAGAGTTAAAATTTTTGCATACCGTATGGATACATGATTTCATTTTAGTCATTATCTAGTCCTAGAGGGACAGTTTTGACATTAAGCAAGTAACCCTTAAGACAATACCTTGGCATTTGAAAGCCCATCTCCTCCACCTACTAGTTTGTAACGTTAATCTTGGGCAAGTAGGATAACCTCGCCAGCCTTTGGCATTTTCATCTGCAAAATGGGACAATAATGTACCAATTTCATAGGGCTGTTGTGAGGATTAAAAGAGTTAATACACATGGAAAGCATTTGACAGTAACCTCTCAGGTGGTTCAGTATCATTTCTATTTAACAAATGTGAGGCTCTGAGAAGTTTTAAACTTTTAGCCTGTCATTTTTGTATAACCAATTTGAGGTTTTTGTTATTTGTTTAATGCTTCATTGAGAAACTTTATTCTTTGAGTGTTTGTTGTCATTGTTGTTTTAAGTAAGCTCTCTGCCCAACTTGGGACTTGAGCTCACAAGCCTGAGATCAAGAGTTGCATAATCTACCAACTGAGCCAGCCAGGAGCCCCTATCAGATAAGCAATTTGAATCAGTCTGCTAAAGGATACTGTAAGATCTCAAAGCACAACACAATTTTTGCTCTCAAAAACATGAATATAGAAAAAATTAAGAAAAATAACGGTGAAAATTAGTGATACAATGCCTTGTAGAGACAGTATGTGATTACCAAGTAAAGTGATAGGTTACGGTTGTGGTGTAGTCTGAAAACCTTAGTTCAGATGCAGACTTTGCCTCTGACAGTTTTGTAACCTGGGACAAGTTACTTAGCATCTCTAAGCCTTGTTTAGTTATATGTGAAATGAAGATTTCATCACAGGGTCAATGTGAGCATTAGCTGAAATAAAGTTATGCACAAATACTTAGCAAAATATATTTTACATAAAATGTTCTCAGAAGAGGTTTATTGGAATCATTTAAGAATTTAGGGGAGGGAAAGGTCTAGAACATTTGTGTAAGTCCTGAGAAAATATTTAATGTAGAAAGAAATTGAAGCTGTCAGTTAAAATGAAATTTTAAAGTGTTATCCCTGAATTTCCCTTTGCTCAACTACCGTGAAACTCTTATAACTCAGAGTTTTGACTACAGGTTTCTCTGGATGTGTTTTCATACTAAGATAGATAAAGGAAAACATTGCATTTTGACTTCTGTTATTCTTATACAGTGAATGGGAAAATGTAAGACTAAATTCTAAGTAAATTCCAGAATTTTTATTCTCTACATTTTATTTTTGCCAGGTGAGCAGTCTGATTGATAAAACACTTTGAAAAATTGGCAAGAATTTTCCTTGAGGAAAAACTTGATCTTCAAATGGATCTAGGACATTATTGCTTTCTATGTTTTTCATTGAGGATATTATTTTATGGATCATTTATTGCAGTGGACTTCTAAGTGAATTGAATTTTATAAATATCCAAATATTTTCATACTGTGAATTTAATTTATGTTCGAAAGGATTGATATGTAATGACTACTACATAGGAAATGTACATATTCTAGAAAAATAATTTCAGCAGGCAGAAAAGTAAATTACATTTTAGTTTCTTAAGCTGTATATTTGTTGAATTATTGATATATTTGGACTTGCACAGAGGGATACAATCTCACTGTTTTAACGCTTTACATTGCTATTTACTTAGCATTAACTTTAATGTTTCATACTAATTGGGGGGCAATTTTTAGTATAGATTTGTTTGAGGAGGGTTTTATTTGGAGAAAAGTATTTTGATTGTTTTTAAGAATTTCTTAGTAATTTGAACCAAGTGGTGGCCTGCAACTTCAAAAAAAGGCCATCCTGTATCCGCTTTAATGAGTGGATAGCTCATGTGTGATTTGCAACATCTCTCGGCACTATAACAATTAAAATAGTCCTCTGTTTTTCCCTCATGTGAGAGCTTTGTGTATAGATTTTTCCTTTTTTTTGCTACGTTATTTTAAAATTTAAATCTAATAAAAAATTCAAAGTTCTGTTCCTCTTTTATCACTTAAAATAGTAAAATAAAGCTTTTTAAACTGTCATTACACATCTGGAGTATTAGCCAACCTATTCCTTTTAAGGCAATTCCATTTTCTTTCTATTTCTGACTTAATTAAAATTTAGTGACAAGTACAGATTATACATTCAGAACAATTATTTCAGTAACATTGAGTTAAGTGTTATAAAATGATTTCCAAATTTCAGCTAATAGCCAACTGTTTCAGACAGTATAGTTAAGGAAAGAATATTAGGTTTGGTTTTGAACCTTAATTTAATAGTTGTGTGACCTTGCATATGTGACTATCTTTTAGAGCCTGAATTTCTTCATCTATAAAATGGGGATACATTTATCCTAACAAAAAGGATCTTTTTTTTTTAAATTTTTTTTTTTTCAACGTTTATTTATTTTTGGGACAGAGAGAGACAGAGCATGAACGGGGGAGGGGCAGAGAGAGAGGGAGACACAGAATCGGAAACAGGCTCCAGGCTCTGAGCCATCAGCCCAGAGCCTGATGTGGGGCTCGAACTCACGGACCGCGAGATCATGACCTGGCTGAAGTCGGACACTTAACCGACTGCGCCACCCAGGCACCCCCCTAACAAAAAGGATCTTACAGTATCCTTTAGCAGACTGATTCAAATTGCTTATCTTTATCATCTATAAGTTGGGAATACATTTATC